AACTCTTCCTTTAATTTATTTTTATATTTTTTCTTATACTTTCATTACTCATTAATGTTTTGATCTTTGTATTTCTTTAATTCATTTGAGGTTTCTATTGTTTTATTTTTATATGTCATTGAGAAGTATTATTGGGCTGTTTATTTCAAACCTTCAGCAGAATGAAGTCGATCAATAGGCCAAATATTGGCCAGCTGACCACAAAAGTGTTTGTCATCTCTGTCACATTTGCAAAGGGAACAGCTGGCCAGACTAGAGTGCTCTGGTAGGCTGAGTCTGTATCAAGGCAATGGAGTTTCTAAGCCTCCAGTATAAGTTTTTATTTCATAATAAAAAAAAACTTCACTTAAACACTTATTGGTAAATAGAAAAGATATATGAAAAAAGGAAGTAAACCAACTAAATGAGTCATATTTTATACACAGAGCATCTGTTATACTTATCCTTCTCAATATAATATCATCTTTTCAAGTCTTGTCTAAAAAGAGCTACAAAGAAAGAAGTGGACAGAGGGGTAAGGAATTTTTCAAACCACAGACTCAAGATACAGTAGTGTCTTTGAGGAATGAAGCATATCACTCCATCCAGGAGCCAGGAGTCTTGTTGAGGTCTACAAGAAGGGAAGATTAATCCTTTCAATCTCTGGTTAGAATCAGATCCATGGAAGATTAAGACTGAAAGGTACCAAAGCAATCAACATAGTTCACCATTTCTACAGATGAAAGTTAGATAGACCACTGTAGTCCAAAGCATTCAAAACTATGGCACTGAGTATTACAGGTCTATTAGTCTTCTGTTCACATTGCTTTTCCAGTCTGTGTCATGTAGTAACAATCTGCTGGAAACTCTAGGGTGTATTCAGTCCAATGACTTTAATGATCTGCCATTCAGATTATTCATATCAACATTTTCATAGGATGAAGATACAAAGACAAATTAGTTTATTTAGTAGGGAAAAAAATCTATGATGATAATAAAACATTCTTTTTCTCATATACAGATATGTGGTTGCCTCCTAAAAAGAGAATGTCTTCAGATGTGAGAGCTTATGATCCATATCGGTAGTTCTTAAGTTACGGACCCCAAGGCAGCAGTATGCCACCTTAGAATTTGTAGGAAGTGTGAATTCTTGAGCTCACCAACATCGACACAATTACCAACTCAGAAGATGAGGCTCAGTGATATGCAATTTAAGAAGTCCCTCTTTCAGATTATGATATACACTAGACTTCATGATTACTCACCTAGAGAAACCAGTATATGTATATAAAATAATTGAATGAAATATATGTATATATTATATGTATATATTGTATGTGTGTATATATTAGTGAATGAAATATATGTATAATTTTAATGTGTATTAAGTGAGGGATATGTGTGTGCCATAGTGTAAGTGTAGAAGTCATAGACAATGTTGTGGAGTTTGTTCTCTACTTGTAAGATTATGTGGTGTATTAGGTACATTTCTGTTGCTGTGATAGAATCTCCTAAACAACTTACAGAAGAAACTGAGGAACTTGACTTGCAGTCCCTGAGAGGAGACAGTCTATCATAACAAAGCTGGGCCAGCCCAGCAATCAGGAATCAGAATGATCATATTTTATTTGCATACTAGAGTCAGAGTGGGTTGGTGGGGGAAGATGAATGGAAAGGGAGAGGGAACTAAGAGATGGGAGGAGAAGGAGAAAGGAAAGAGGAAATAGAAAGTGAAGTTAGGCTATAAATAGCCTCAAAACTTGTCCCCAGTGATATACTTCCTCAATCAAGGCTCCAGCTCCTAAAGATTCTGTAACATTCCCAAATACCATCACCAGCTAGAGAACAAGTGTTTAAACATGAGCCTTTAAAAAATTATTTATTTTTACTTTATATGCATTAGTGTTCTGCCTGCATGTGTATCTGTGTGATGGTATTTGATCCAGATCCCCTAAAACTGGAGTCACAGACAGTTGTGAGCTGCCATGTGGGTGCTGGGAACTCAGGTCCTCTGGAAGAACAGCCAATGCTCTTAACCACTAAGACATTTTTCTAACCCAAAGCATGAGTCTTTGTAGGATATTTCATATTTAAGTTAGAGCATTCTGCATCTGACTCCCAGAGGTTTATGGATATTTCATGATCCAAAATGAGTTTAGTCCAAGTGCAAAAGTCTCCATTGTCTTTGACAGTCCCAACACTATTCAAATATTCAAAATCTAAAGTATCTTTGCAGACTCAAGGCAAGCTATTAATTGTGACCTCCTATAAAATAAAAATCGAATTACATACTTCCAAAATAAAAAAAGCATAGAATATAGAGTCCCATTCCAAAAGAGAAGAGGGCCATAGTGAGGTACAATTGAACCAAAGCAAGACCAACAACAACATTGTCCTATGGAGAACACTTCATTTTCAAACAATAACATGTTAGTTCCAGGGATCAAACTCAGGCTTTCAGGTTTTTAGGCATTGTCACTAGTAAGTATTTTACTCTCTGAGCCTTCATGCTGTCCAAAAAGCAGTATTTTCAAAGGTGCATATGATCCTAGCCCTGGAAATGTTCAATGGTCATCTATATAGTTATAATGTAACACTGAAATAGAATTGTATTAGTATAAAACATATACAGTTCTTCATGAGTTAAGTATTTTCATACAAAATGAGATGCATGTGGATGATTTAGCAAAAGTTTCCTAAATTTTTTTTCACTACAGGCTCGCCAAGCTACAAGCAGTGTTGGCAAGCACACTATGCAGTTTACAACTTTAAAGGGGAAAAATCCATCTATTAATTTTGCAGTAATTAAGGTACAAAAATATAGTATTCCAAACTCTGTAGACCACAGGAATAAAGTAGCCTAGAAACAACAGATTGGGAATAAAAGCTTTAACACATTTTACACTTCCCCTTCTAGCTATGAACTGCCCCAGCAAGATACTACTGAAGAATTGCTTGTAGACAGACTGAAATAAATAGTATATGATCTGTACTAATCCTCTGGTAATTCAACATTGAATATAAGAAATGCAGAAAGAGCCAATGAAGGGGGTAGAAAGATAACATAGATTGTTCACATACTTAGAAAATTAAGTTCTTCAACTGCCAAGCACAGATCTCTCATGGTCCCATCCTTCATGGCAATAGTTCATCTAGTGGTGCCAAATATGTGGGCTGAGCAAATCTTCAGAAGTGAGATTAAAGCTGTTGGTTCAGCTCCCACCTTCCAGGCTTAAATTCAAGGCACATCACAAAGTTTTCTTTCTTGGAAACAATACTGCTCGGGTTAAATTTTACCTCCAATTTGATCCTAGAAAGAAGTGTGAATGGAAAATTAGGATATTTACTTTCCTCCAAACTTCCAGCAATATGATTACATAGACATTTTGGGTTATTCCTTATTCTTTGTTAAGTTAATTGGGTTGTGTTAATTGTAATGGAAAACTGAAAGGATTCTAAATGAACCAAAAGTCTACTTTGTACCTTCATTGGAAAACTGTATGTTGCTTAAAGCTTATTTACCAAGGTTGTCTGACTTTGATGTGCCTTTCATTGCCTTTAGGCTGTTGTGAAATTCCAAAGAGATAGAAGTTAAGTTGGAGATCCTAGAGTTCAGTTGAAGAGAGGGGAAAGGGTTGTAAGAGCAAGCGGGGGGGGGGATCAGAATCATGAAAAGGAAAAACCACAGAAATAGCTGACCCAAGCTAATGGGAGCTCATGGACTCTGGACTGACAGCTGGGGAGCCTGCATGGGACCGAACTAGGCCCTCTGAATGTGGGTGAAAGCTGTATGGCTTGATATGTTTGTGAGTCCCCTGGCAATGGGACCAGGACTTATCCCAGGTACACAAACTGGCTTTTCAGACCCCATTCCCTTTGGTGCAGTGCGGTACTCAGCAGGGGGGAGGGGCTAGATCTGTCCCCAACATGATCTGACAGCATGTTGACTGCCCAAGGGAGGCCTTACCCTCTATGAGGAAGGGATAGGGGTAGGTGACAGGGAGCGGGAGAAGAGGAGGGACAGGGAACAGAGGCTGATATATAAAAGGAAAGAAATTTTTTAATAAAAAAGAAATTATTCTTGTTTATGAATATGCAAATAAATTTTATTCTGTAGAGTATCAAATCCCTTTCTTCTTACTCAGAAGAAGCAGTTACATTGGTTAAAAATGTTTATAACAGCAATTGTGATGATCTTATATATTTTGTTGACTTTTATGCTCTCTTTGTAATGGATTGTAAGGTTGTAAATTCCCTCATTAATTAATGAGTTAATATCCTTGACACATGTTTTCCTTATATGTAAGAGTAACTACAAAATATTTAAGGCACAATTATCCTTTAATGTTGTATTTTATAAACAATATATTTTCTAACTTTATGTGTCTTCTTAATTCTACAAGATAAACCAGGGCAAATGTAGTGTAACCATAATAATTTTCTCTGTTGCCTTTTATAGATTCTGTGGTTATCATGTGGCCACATGCCTGTCAATGAGAAATAGAGTAATAGTTTCTGAGAGAAGTTCACTTCTTTCATAATAAAACAAGAGATCCACAGTAGGAAATGGGAAATCCTCTTTGTTCTTACCTTTACCATATGGCCATGTGAGAACAAGGAGTTTGGAAATGCAGTTGCCATCTTCAGGAACAGGAGAGAGGACCAAAGAAAATCTTAAAGAAGCCATCTCTAAGTCATGATATTGAAAATTAAGTCTTGGAATCCATCCATCCATCCATCCATCCATCCATCCATCCATCCATCCATCCATCCACCCATCCATCCATTTATCCATCCATCCATCCACCAAATGAATAGCTCAAGAACTACTCTTAGAGTTGCTATATATAAGTGTGAAGCTATACTAATTAATACTATTAATTGTTCTATACATTTTGTAAGCATTCTAACAAATATCACAGCTTCAAAATGAAAACAATCCAGGAAATTTTACAGGCTCTGAGATGTTCTTCAAGTTAGGAACACATTGAAGGTGGTAGATTTGCTGCACTGTAAAATGCAGCTGAATAGACTTGTAAAATACAAATCTTACTTTTTTCCCTCAGTGACCTGTATTTTAGTTGGGCCTGATTTCTAATGAATTGGGATCTTGTGAAAAAATTCTTGTCTTTGTAATTTTATGCATATGATGTTGTGATGTCCCACTCCCTTTCATTCCATGCATTTATGATGTTCTTTTCTTATCCTAGTATCTACCCTCCTACTAGAATTGTTTGGCTCAGTTCCAATCCTGGACTTGCTGAGCAGAGTTGCTGCTGTACTTTGCATTTTACAGTAGTTCCCACATATCTCTGTTTGTTGCCTAATTTATTTGCCTATATCTATCCTCCCTCCTAAACCTACTCTATATCCAATACTCAACATTTAATACTCCATAGAGCATATAGTAGGTATTAATTAAACCTTATTCAAGTACAGGAATTAATGACATACCAAAATAAAACAGTTCTTAGCCCACTTCTTTATCCTTATATCAAATTATTTATCTCTTGTTTTCAAATTGAATTCTTTCTCCATATAAAATTCCCTGAATATGGAAGAAATAGTTCTGTATTGTGGTTTGAATATGCTTTATCAGCACTAATATGTAGTGGGTAGCCATTCCAGCTTGGATCTGGAAGTTCCAACCCCCATTGAGACTCTGGCAACTATCACACCTACGAGGCGGGGCGAGGGGAGGCGCCTGGAGACCCGAGAACTGGATGGGCCAGCACTCTCTCTGTGCGCTCTTTCTGTGCCGGGACGCTGAATGGTGAAGGTGGATTGTGCAGAGCTCCGGAGAACACCGCTGGACTGCAATACACCTTCCCCAGACCCTGCGACCTACCTTTCACTTAATTTGTAAGTTATGCCATTAAATAAATATCCTTTTAACTATGTGGAGTGGCCAAAATAATTTCTCCAATATCTGGCGCCCAACGTTGGGCTGTATTGTGTGAACCAGTTGTCTTGAAACCGCTCTGGATGTTGGATCATCTGGGCCATGGTGTCATCAGAGACCTTTCAGGGGGTCTTGGCTGGTGAAACCTGATGTATCTTAATCTGGAACAAATCCACAGCCTCTGGCTTTCTGTGGAAACAAAA